TTTTTCACATATTAAGAAAACCACTAAGTAAGGAAGATGAGGAAAACAGATTTCGAAAGTGGATTTATTCTACTGATACTAAAGTGCCCTGTGTGCTTTTTACCTTTACTGGCTAAATTGGTTAACCAGAAATCAAAGTTTATAAAATAGCTGTAGCAAGTTAATTTTTGAACTAGTAATCTTAAATGGGAGTAATCCTAGGAACCTCAAGTGGCCTAGTGGTAAAAAGCTGCACTGCAATCGGAAAGGTACGAAGTTCGAATCCACCAATTGCCACATAGGAGAAGCATAGACAATCTCCTCCCATGCAATTTACTATCTCTGAAAACCCACTGGAGGATCAGCTATGGGTCGATTCCGACTCAACGGCAAACAACAATCTTAAATGTGGATAGTTCTTTTTTTCTATTACAAATGGTTTTCATTCAATCAACTAATTTTAATACAGCACAATAGTTAAGAGTTTAGGATCAAGATCGATCCCATGTCTGCTCTCTTCTAAATTATGCACCCTTGGATACATTAACTAAAAATGTTTGCAAGATCTCATTTTCCTCATCTGTAAAACACAGGTAAGAATTGATCTGGTTTGTAGAGCTGTGAGGATTAATTGAAACTGTCGTTCTTGTTATGTGCCATCGAGTCGTTGGCAACTCATAGTGACCTTATGTACAACAGCCCTAAACCCTGCTCTATCCTATGCCAATCGCATTGCCTCTGACACACCCATCCCAATTAGACAAGTCACTGAATCAATCCACCTCATAGAGGGTCTTCCCCTCCTGCACTGTCCCTCCACCCTCCCAAGCATGATGTCCCTCTCCAAGGACCTGTCTCTACTTACAATATGTCCAAAGTATGTCAGACGAAGCCCTAGAATCCTTGCTTCCAAGGAATAGGCTGGTTTAACCCTCTCCAGGATGAATCTTTTTGTTTTCTTGGCAGTCCAGGGTACATTCAATACTCTTCTCCAGCACCACAGCTCAAAGGCATCAATTCTCCTTCTATCATCCCTAATCATTGTCCAACTGTCTGATGCATAACAAGTGATTGCAAAAACCATGACCTGTATCAGGCGCACCTTAGTCTCCAGAGAGACACTGTTGCTCTTGAGTACTTTAGAGAGTTCCCTAACAGCAGACTTTCCCATCGCAATAAGTTTTTTTATTTCCTGGCTGCTGGTACCAAGAGTGTTGACCATGGAACCTAGCTAACTGAAGCTGTGAACAATCTCAATCTCTTTGCCATCTATCCTGATGCAACCAATTGGTCCAGTGGTGAGAATCTTTGCCTTCTTGAGATTGAGTCTTAGTCCATACTGAAAGTTGCAGTCCTTGACCCTCTGCAGCAAGTGCATGAGGTCCTCCTCAGTTTCGGCAAGCAGGGTTATGTCATCTGCATAATGCAGATTGTTGACAGATCTTTCACCAATCCTGACCCTGCATTTCTCCTCATAAATCCCAGCCTCTCGGATAATCTGCTCTGCATACAGGTTGAAAAGGTATGGAGATAGGACACATCCCTGGCGTACACCCTTCCCAATTTTGAACCATGCACTGTTACCCTGCTCTGTTCTGATGACTGCCTCTTAGTCCAACTATAGCTTTCGCATTAGCATGATTAAATGTTCTGGGATTCCCAATCTTCTCAGAGTCAGCCACAGTTTGTTATGATCCACACAGTCAAACGCCTTTGCATAATCAACGAAACACAGATACACATTTCTCTAGTATTCCCTGCTTTCAGCTAAGATCCATCTAACATCAGCTACAATATCCCTAGTACCACGACCCCTTCTAAACCCAGCCTGGACTTCCGGCAGTTCTCTGCTGATGTGCTGTCCCAGTCGTTTTTGGATAATCTTCAGTAGAATCTTGCTAGCATGTGAAATCAATGATATTGTTCTGTAGTTTCCACACTCAGTTGGGTCACCCTTCTTGGGAATGGGAACAAATATAGATCTCTTCCAGTCAGTTGGCCAAGTGGTTGTTCTCCAGATTTCTTGGCACAACTTGGTGAGCATTTCCAGGGCAGCATCTGTTAGCTGAAATATGTCAATTGGTTTACCAACTATTCCTGGGGCCTTATTTTTTGCTATTTCCTTCAAAGCAGCTTGAACTTCTTCCTTCATCACCATAGGCTCTTGCTCAAATGTTATTTCATTAAATTCTTCTGTATCTGCCAATTCCTTTCCTTTCAATTAATAGGATATAATCTGCATAGTCTCTGGTATAGTAAATGTTTGGTTTGATGAATGTTCCAATAGTAGCCATTACTACTTCAGAAAGCACTTCACTTTTAGATAAGACTGGATAATACTAAACAAAGTTTAACAATGCTAATGAATGCAAACATGGAAACAAAAAAATATATTCCTAGAACTTAATTTTTTTTAACTTAAATTTTTTAAATGCATATTTGTATGCATTGCACACAGTTCGAATCCACCAGCTGCTCTGCAAGAGAAGAATGGGCAGTTTCCTCCTGGCAGTTAACTGGCTCTTAAAAGAGGATCAGCTATGGGTCATCTCCGACTCCGACCATTCACAACAACAACATTTGTATCTTAAAGTATGGATAAAAATACACCATTGTTTTCAATCTAACCCAAGAACTTGTTTTAACACACTGACACAGGGACAGTATCTATTTTAGTCTCACTCTTTCACCAAATTTTTACTTTTAATTTATACAAAGGAATATTCAATTTCTATCTGATGCCCAAAAGGCAACTATTTCCAGGGATCCTAATGATGATCATAAAATTGGAAACTGATAAAAAGAATTCGAAACTGTTTCTACTAAACCGACTGGATGTTGTTGTTTGGTGTCGTCATATTGAAAATGAACAACAGCTTTGAAATCTAGCCTATCCTATGGTATCCTCACAATCTCTGACATACTTGAACCTATTACTGAAGCCAATGTATCCATCTATCTTAAAATGTCATATTATTTGAGACATGTACAGACCATGCTCCGACCACACTCATTATTAACCATACTCCTGTTCTCAGTTTGACAGGAATACCAAATGCACTCTCTTGATACACTTTCTATTTACTTTCAAGTAACTAGAGCACAGTGAGGTGGGGTCAGTGCAGCTCAGTCTGCCCTTGCTCAACCTGGTACATCACATAATCTTTCTTTTTTAAAACGAGAATGTTTGAGGAAAGAGAACTCAAGTGAACTACTCTGGCAAAACTAAGTAACTTTTCATAAACCAATACCATAATATTTGTGAGATTTCTATCTATCTATCTATCTATCTATCTATCTACACTTGGAAGCAAGAGAGTCATCCAATTCCTAAATAACAAGCATCTGGAAACTCTATGAACTTTGATAAATGACGATAGTTATAGAAAGGCTTCAAGCCTTTTTTGTTCATAGGGTCACTATGAGTCATGCTCAACTCGATGGCAATCAACAACATATATACACAGATGTATATATACATACATACATACATCTATATATGTATGTTGTTATGTGCCGTCCTTGCCTGAGACTCATGGCGACCCCATGTACAACAGCCCTACACCCTGTTCTATCCTGTGCCAATGTTATTGTGTCTGACAAACCTACCTCCATTATA